TACAAGAATACATATAGGAATTGTAAGGTTGCAAGGGAGCCCAGAAGAAACCAGAAGGCTTATGAAGCCTGGACCCCCCAGTCTCAAAGAAATAAGCAAAATAAGATGAAATTCGTAGAGTGATACGTTGAAAATAGGAACTAAACAGAGACTGTGTTAAGTTATGAATTCAGAAACAAGAGAGAAAAAAAATTCATCTCTGGATTGGAACAGAATACTTTCTTTTGTTAGTATGGCAGGAAGGAATATAAAATCGATTTGAACTACGCGTTCATTGTTTAGCGGCACCATGTTGTTTCCATTAAGTCGAAGTGCATAACTCTAATCGCCCAAAAATCAGCAATAATTCATTGATTCGAGATCAAAAATCTAACAAAACATCGCAAACGGATATAAAAAGCTAGTTCATACCTTTAAACGCGAGACTGCACAATTTTTGGTGGCAAAAAACCTTGCCGTAAATCACTTTCCGCTGGGAGCCCTTCCTGCGGCTCAAACGTGAACTGCAAACAGCAAACGTGACCGCAAGGCCGTGGTCAAGTGGAACTCAAGCGAATCTATACTGAGTCTAGCCCACAAAGCAACTAACTACTTTTCCATGATAGATAACATACATCGAAGTAGTCAAGTAGCTTGTGTGCAAACTTCTTCTATTTCCTTTGATAGAGATGAGTGCTTTGAAAAATGTTATTGACCACGTCATCACATAATTAGTAAGACTACTTTAACAATCTGGCTCTGCTTTTAATATTATTAGATCTACTACACTGCAAGCATTCATGATATTGAAGTGTTTCACTGATCCATGAAAATAAAATAATATCATTTTATTATTTTGTGAAACAATTTGTTTCAGGTCAGTTTGCCCAGTATAGACCAGTATAATGACCCCAATGGAACCTAATTCACTCATTTTCCTCACCCTAATCAGTAACTGCTTCAAAGTCGTACAGTGGCCATTTGTCTTTCTGCGAAATACCCCTGACGACCCTTTCCTGAATCAAAACCATTGGATGGCATTGAATGCAACATTCTCACTCACTGCAGATCCTCAATTAACCCCCCGCCCCCCTAAGAATGAGATCCCAAACCCCTCCCTTTTGAAGAAAAATGTCGTAAAATAATCAAAGTACCTCTTCATGGGCACGAAACGTTTGGTGCAATTCATACCATACAATATCGCTGTATCAAGTACTGTTCTCGGTGCAGGAGGAGGGGGTACTATAATGACCTAAACAGAGCCTGAAGCTTTTTTCAGGCTTCAGGTACATGAAAGGGAAGGGGTTTTTATAGTTGAAGTATATGAAAGGGACCAAAATGAGATCAGTCACAGATGCATTTTATGGATGTGAGAGACAAGAAAACCTGTTTTTGTAAAGATGGTGTATTTACAGCAGTTAAAAAGGGATGCAGCGTTCAAAATTAGGTATGTGAAAGGGGTACCATTTGTCACTAGAGGGTATACAAAAGGGGTACCTTTTCTGTCTAAAATGGTACATACAAAGGGTAAAGGGTTGGTCCCTGGGGCAGAGCCTCTTTGGTGAGTACTCCCCCCCCCGCTCCCCTCTGGGTTACTGTTACTCTAGTCTGATTCTTCTCTTTAATTTCTTTGATACTGTGCTTCATTAAATGAATTAAAATTCATTTAAAAGCTTCTTGCCCCTTTTTTGAAAACCCCGATATGTTAAAAGAAATTATGTCCCCTGGAGGGGAAATAAAATCAGGGAAAATGGGTAGCAAGATCTATTGTGTTATTTTACATGAATTGAGTAAGCATAATGTGGAAACTATACACATACAGTTGCGCGTGTTTACTGAAAAACATATCGGCACTCCAATCTTTTGCCTCCCATCACTTGTGTGAGACCTTAGACTCTTTATTTCCAAAACTACAGACAGCTTGCTTGAAGGCTTATCAACCACCTTCTAATAAGCTGCCAGCCTCTGCAACATTGATTATGTGATGCTTGATGGTAGGTGCACTGCAATATTACTGAATCAAGCTAATAAAGCAGCTTGACAATATTAACTGGTTTAAGTCACTGACACATTCAGTTTTACACTGAGCTTGAAATATTTTTCTCCACAGTAAAAATAATGTTCATTAAAGAGAAGCAGAGCTCCCCTCTGCAAAAACATTAAAGGAGTGCCCTTAGAAAAAAAAAACAGCATCCAGAGGGCTAAACAGAGGAAGTATACTTACCATGCATATTTTAGCAGCTAGCCTTTAGAAAGTACCTTCCAACCAAAGACTTCAAAGTACTTCCCCCACGTATACTTGCAACACTTAATATTGCAGCTCAGTTGTGGTTCACTTTTATCCTAAGTTTGAATTTTATTCTCTTTGTTTTGAACTCATAATCATAAAATTCATATTACCGTACCCCCAAACAAAGGGAAGCAAAATTTAAACCTAGGTTATAATTAAATAAAACCACAGCATAGCCATTTGCTTTGAAACAACTGATATCTTTAAGACCAAGGTATGATTGATGTTCCTGGCACATTCCCCGTTAATATGTTTAAAGTTGCCTTTTATTGATGTATTAAATAACCTGATCCATCTTATCTTTTCAAATAATACATTTGCACTTACTTCTCATCATAGGTTTGTAAATATAATATTATTAGACTTACAGTTTTATCTCATCGCCAACATGTTTTAATTTGGGCTTGAAAAAACGCTACAGCTAAGAAGGAGCCCCACTGCTACACTATTACTGTCGAGGAAATACACCTGGCTGCTTCGATCTACGTTATCTTTCAGCATGTATTTAAGCCAAAACCCTACGAAAAGCGTCAAGCAAAAGTAGTTCATTGCTTTGTGAGTTAGACCCAGTATAGATTCGCTTGAGTTCCAAATATGGCTGTGCTTTGAGAGTTTTTGTCCCGACTGTAGCTTCTTTCAACTGCTGTTGAAGCATATTTTGTTGTTTAGTAAAACGCAAAAAGGTGAAAAATGTCATGACATTATTACCTCCGTATTATTTCAAGCACCTCATGAGCATATAGTTCATGAGTAAAATAGCGACCTTAAGTGTTGTTTCGACGCTTCTCTATCATCGATCCTACCGGGTCCTTGATCCTTACCGGCCATTTTGGATTTTTATGGAGGTTTCCGCTGACAACTCGTTCCCAGACTTCCGTTCCCCGTTCCCCGCTCTCCGCTCCCCGCTCCCCGTTCCTCGTTTTAGTAACATCCCTGAGATAAGAACTAGACGGATTTTAAGAGAAAAGGCGGACTGCAAGCAGTCTAGGGTTGCCATGCCTCTTCGCTAAAGCATCAATTAATATAATCAGTACGTTCGGGTTTGAGTCATTCGCCTCGGTTATTAGTAGTGCATAAATCGCCCCATGTAACAAGAAAGTCTTGGATTCTGGATTCAATGCCGTGGAACCGTATTCTCATTACTGGAATCCAGATCTTTTTCAGTGGAACTTGGATTCTGGATATTAATTGTGAGTGGGATTCCGGATTCCTACGCCTGTATTCCGAATTTCAAGGCCCAGGATTCAGGATTCCACAAGCAAAAATTTCACGGATTCCGAAATCCGGACCCCCTTACATGAGGCGAGCATAAAGACTTTTTCTTCCCTGTCTTCTTGTCATGGCCTCGGCCCAGTTTTCTCGCGGACTATATAGGTTTTGTTGTCACAGCAACGTCTTCTCTGCCCTCAATGTTACTGGGCCATGCAGATTACGTATGGACAGTTTGTTGAAGATGCATATTTGAATAAATACGGCTATGAGCACCGGCTCAAAGCCATTTTCCTCCAAATCTTACTAGTTGTGCTCAGTTTTTGCCCAGCAAACAGAGCTCAGACAAGCCAACAAAATGTTCAGCTCTAATTCATACAGTCTATTACTGGGACGGGAAAAACCATAAACTATTGAAAATATTTTGTCCAGAAGACACGACGACATATCTTCCCATCGCCATGGATCACTTAATACACAATAAGCACAACAAAGGCTAAAAGAAATATGCATCAGTAAACAACAGCCATAATAACTACCACAAAAATACACGAAGGGTATATTTCTCACATAGACGTTCAGATCGATCGAACTTTGCGTCATACGGGACGCATGCCATGAATTATTTTGCGTCTATGGAGATGTTTATGCGTCAGGAACGCAGGAGGCAGAGGGAACAAAATCACTTTTCATCCCCTTCAGTTATGTCGTTCCTTTGCTTTTTTCTATCTTATTTAATTGTTCTTCATTGTTTTCAACGGTAATTTTAATATTCTACTCAAGTTGGTAGCTTAAGCTATTTTCACACTATACCGGATAGCTAACCTGCCCACCTACCCCTCCCCTAACCCAACATTTTGCCCCAAGTGAGACGCAAATGTTTACGTTGAGATAGGGGAGGGGTAGGTGTGCAGTTTCCCGGAAACCTAAATTGATCCGCTAAATTGATAAATACCAAAATTGGTAAATACGAAAACTACTATCCCCCTCAGGGTCGGTGAAAAGCGCTAGGTATATACGTCGACGCTTCGCGTCGCGGTATATAACCAGCTACCACTATTCACCTCCCGTTCGGGAGACAGTTGTATACATAGACTACGAGTTCCTCAGGGATAGTAGAGCGAGCGAAACGCGAGTGCGCGTGGAAAATCGCCCCACGCGAGAAAGGCGATACGCGGTGGGGAGAGAGAAAAAATGAGGTTACTCTCTCCCTGCCGCGTGTCGCCTTTTCTCGCGTGAGGTGATTTTCACGCGCGCTCGCGTTTCGTTCGCTCTACTATTCCTGAGGAAAAATGGGGGACTACTTGTAGTCTATTGTATACTATACTGCATAGCTTTTCGTGTCGGCACGAAAAGCTATCCGGTATAGTGTGAACATGGTCTAAATTTCTTTAATAACGTGACACCACTCCGTCAATTTAAGACACGCTCAGTGATTAGTTCAGGGTAAGTAATGCTTCGTAATTGAAATTGGCACTCTTGGAATGGGATCAGTTTTAACAAGCGCTCTGTTTTCTCCAGCAGCCGTTCAAAGAAGGTGGACTTGTAGGAGTAAGAGGACGTCCCAGCGAAGATCATAAGGGGAACGTATTAACACTGTGACAACGAATAATGACCGATTTTCACATTCTTCTCTTACCAATCCTTCTCCTCAAGACCTTTATGACTTATACGACTGGTAGAAATTTTACTGTGGGACTGTTAATTCCATACACTACTCCAGTCACATCGTCGGCGGATTTATTCGGTATAAGGTATGCACCGGCCTCCCTTCTGGCACTGGAGAATATCAACAACAGCACGCATCTTCTCCCAGGTCATCACTTATCCTTAGTTTGGAACGATACCAAGTGTGACCGAAATTTGGCACTAAAAGCGCTCATCTACCAGATTTACGAGAAACGAGTGGACGCCGTCATAGGTCCCGCATGCCACTGTGAAGTGGGGGCGCGTCTAGCTAATGTGGAGAATATACCTATGATATCATACGTGAGTGGTGTAATTCAGATATTTTACTGTACTGGTTTCCCTGCGAAATGAGTTCTGATGAAGGACTGCAGAAATTCCATACTGAAGATGTGCCACAACCCATATCTGGGTAGTGCTTCTGATTGGCTGAAGCAAATTTTCCTCGCGACACGATCAATCAGAAGCACTACTCAGTTCTGGGTAGTGACTTGTCATCAGTATGGAATTTCAACGCTTGTTTCTCAGACGGCATTTCACGGCTAAACCAATGATGGCGTCACAAAATGTCGGCTGTTTTCTCAGGCTAGTTTGATTGCCGATTGTTAATAACCCTTTAGGTCCCAAGAGTGACCAACATCAAATTTCTCCTAACAACATCAGCAGATCATCAAGAGTAAAGGTTATGAGAATTACTAAATTGGTTACCAAAGGGAGAACGCTTTGATATTAAACCAAATTCTCTCAACTATTCTTAAAAGAAATGTATGGAGATCAGTCTGGAGAATTTGTATGTGGATCTTGGGGCGGCGGTTATAAACGCCCATATGTATCGACTACGGAAAATGACATAACGAGATCACAATTCGTTTTTTCTCTGTTTTTTTGCGCGCAATTTTCCAAGGAACATGAAATTCTCGATGTTATTAATGTAAAAAACAAATTCCCCACCGGATTTCCCTTTGTCTACACCCTATTAGGTGGTAGAAATGTTGTAAAAAGTTCAAAACTTTGCAGTGAAACCTGTTACCTGCGACTCCTGGTTTGATGTGACTTTTGAACATATTCATGCCATTTCTATTGCTTTCTCTTGTCCCCTTTTCTTTGTGAATTTACTAACTTTTCCAATTGTCAGCAATGCAACAACAAGTTCCTTGTATTTGTTCTCCTGCACCGGGTGCCTGCTGTGCTATAAATGTATGAACTACACGGTTGGATCCAGATAACTTAGAACAAAGGGTTGCGGGAGACATGCTATAATCAGGGACAAAAGTAGTTGACACACTTTTTTAAAACGGGTGCTTTTAACAAACATTTAAGTCATTTATTATTTCATTCTGTTTAAACGCCATAAATCCCCTCACCCCCCCGAATCAATGTTGTCTGAAGTAAAAAAAAGACTTAAGGGTCCAAAATTCAACATTGATTTTTGGGGGAAGTGGTTGGGGTAGACAAGGGAAGCGGATAAGTATATCCACTATGCAAAAAGGGGACATTTTATGGAAGTGCGTCAACACTTTTGTCCCTCATTGTAGCTCCATGGAAACTAATTATTAATTTATTGTTTAAAGGTTTAAAGATTTTCACGCATTTTCAGGCAAGGTGCATGGGGTGTTCCCCGCACGCCTCTAAATCCGCCAAAGCATGAGCTTTTTTTATACTTAACAATTATTCCACGAGCGCTCGTTGGACATGAGTTGGCTGTAATCATCTCATACCCAACACGCGTGAGTGGAAAAATTGTTTCATTAAAAACGCCCACAAAATATCGAAAATTCTTCCCGACTTTATTTGTAAAAACAACCGATTTTTAGCTTGTTTTTAATTTTGAGTGAGCCCTCGCGTACAGTTACCATATTTGGAGAGCATGGTATAATTAACAATTATTCTTTGAAATCGAGGTGAATAGTGGCAAAATATTTACCGAGCCGCGAAAGCGGCGAGGTAAATATTCCCAAAGCCACTATTCACCGAGATTGAGAAGAATAATTGTTTTAGTATATACACACGAAGTGATCTCAACAAAATCAGAAAGGAAACCATTCAAAAGTAGGATTTGATTGACAGATCAAATCACGCGTAAGTTTAAAAAAAGATCTTTGCAGAATTTTCAAACATGGCAATTCACAAGTTTACTCATTTCGCAAACAACAGCGTAATGGCTTCAATGGAATCGCTAAAAGTTTGAACTGTTTCCTTACCTGAGAAAAAAAGTAGAGCTGTGTTGTTTTCTGTTGACTCGCCAAGTTTATAGCCAAAAGGGCATGTTGTGTCGTTCTTCGCATGAAGTGCTGACAAAAATGGCGGCTCGGTTGCTCGAGGTAAGAGGTCGTCTTCCTGTATCATTCTTTTTCCTGTTTACTTGAAATGTAGAATTTCTGCAAACATTTTTGCATTGTTTGTCATAAATAAACTTCGATTTTTGAGCCAAAATTTTCTTCTTAGAAAACGCTGAGTTCACGAAACGGCTTCTTCTACGCGAATACACGGGAGTTGTAAACAATCCATCGAGCACAAAACTCCTGCTACAGTAAACTGAAAAACGCCGTATTGAATCCTTCCAAGTCTTTTCTTGCCTTAAAAAAAGTCAGCCCTAGGATTTTGTCGACTTTTAAAAGATCGTTCTCTAAAAAAAAACGGGAAAAACACCGAGCTCACACATTATCCACTCGCTAGGAGGTGAATATTGTTGAATAGTCCGAGATAGCGAACCAATCAGATTGCTTAAATCACCAAGATCACTGAGTGTGTATATACTAATGACTCATATACTATGATGGCTACACCTATCAGAGCTCTAGAACTGCATTATCCAATGATTCAGTTTTTAATAACTGTATTATACAAGAGCCATTATGGCTCTTGATTTATAACATAGCTAGAATATTTACCTAAGTAAATTCAATAGCGTTAGTAATGAGTTCTTTCTTTCAAGTGCATCCTAACTCAATGTTGCCTGCGTGCAGACGTCTCCTATTTCCTTTGTTGCACGCGGAAAAGGGACGTCTGCGTAACGCCGTCGCTAATCGTGTTCCAGCGTCCTGCTGGGTTCCCAAGATCTTGGGAACACGCTGCGATAGGCTGACACACAGTGCGCATTGTTTGACTTAACGCTGATTGGTTGTTATCGAATGTGGTCTGATAATGTATGCGGTGATTTAAATGATTTATGTAAGCAGGGTTTTCTAACCAAAACAAATCAAAACATGTGCGATTGTGTGCTGTGTTTTTCGTCGATCGAAAAGCAGAGCGATCGAAATCTTGTGCGGGGACGCGGAAAATTTAACGTGTACGAGGAAATTATTTCTTTACAATTTACTGTGCATGACACATCACATCATATTTGTGAACAGTGTCTGACAAAACTACAAAAGCGGCGTGGACTTCGCACCAGGCAGGCATTTCGGAGAAAGCCAGCCAAAGAAACTAAAATGTTTATTTAGCCGTAACAAACAGAGGTCAAGAAAATTTAAACACTTTACAACTGCATCTGAAATCAAATCCTATCGGGAACACCCACAGAAGTATAAACCACAGGAAATGATTACTCAGTATGCATGTAACAAACCTGCTTCATGACCTCTAAATGTAAGACTTAGCGCGGCAAAAATGAGATTTACTCAGTCAAAGGTTAGAATGCTACATGCACTGTGTAGTGCTAGTAATCTTCGCGCGAGAGAGAAAAGAAGAAAAACCTCTGTTGAAGCAGACTCTCAAGGTCACGTTTCTCTCTTATCACGAGCTTATGATGTTTTGTTTGGCCTGTCAACTCTTATTTCTAACCGGATATTATTTCACAATTTAAGCGAAATAAAATACCCTGCCAGCGGGACGCTGGAACACGATTAGCGACGGTGTTACGCAGACGTCCCTTTTCCGCGTGCAACAAAGGAAATAGGAGACGTCTGCACGCAGGCAAAACTCAATGTTGCATGTTAAAGCTTTATTTATTATGTGTTTTAAAACGCCATGTAGTTGGAGATTTTGTTAACAGATAGTAGGGTAATGAGGTGAGTGTGCGCTATGGCGTGTGCAAATCGTTCTTTGCAAAATCTTTTTGTTCATAAAAATTTGTTCGGTGTATTAGTAGTTTTCCATCCCAATTTATAAAATAACTAAGATAGTGCGCGCGCTCTGATTGGCCGAGAGGAGTGTTTGCGTGAGAGTATGTAAACATGATTGTGGCGTCAAGATGTTTTGCTTTTCGCGCGCTAATCACACAAGCACGAATTTGGAAACGTTTTCGAGTTAAAAACAAATAAAAAACAAATATTTGATAATGTTTATTGATTTGTATTGCGCAAATATCAATCCAGGGATCGGAAAGACATTTTCATTTGCGCATTACATTGACGTCAACCAAATCCTACTTAAAAATCCTAGTACATTTTCCAATTCAAAAAATTCTAAAAACAATGACTAATTAATCCTTAAAGTCCTATTTACAAGTCGTACCTAATAATTTATTAACAATGAGTCTAAAATTCTAAAAACAATGACTAATTAATCCTTAAAGTCCTATTTACAAATCGCACCTAATAATTTATTAAAAATAATAAATCTGATTCAGGTTTTTATTTATAGACATTGACGCCTCCTGCTTTCAGCATACGCATGGGCAATAATCATATTTTAAGTTATTAAACTGCCACATTGACTGGGGATGCCATTTTAATGTATAAAACAACTGATTCATGCTTTATCTTTGCGTATGTAGAGATATGAGGCACTTGCGAAGTTCTGAGAGCACTCAAAAGGCTAGAGTTGCTAACGTTTGGTTTGTGCAAAATTTTCTTTAACTCTTCATTTTTCACTAGTTGTGCAATGCGCCAATGTATGACAGCTCTCTGTATTCAACATTTGCGAGGACCAAGGTACAACTGGAAATTCCTAAACTATCTCAAGGTTTGGTCAAACTCCTTAAAGAGTTTGACTGGAGTCAGGTGGCCGTGCTATACGAAAACACAGCTCGAGTTATTGAATATAAAGAAGCCGTGGTCAAAGAGTTTAGCAAACAAGGCATTACAGTCCTCTTTCAGCAGGACCTTCTTACTTACAGGTACGTTCTATTACTACCGGGAATTAAGTACTTTTAGTCTCCATTTAGTGCTATTAATACTTTATAGACCTATATCAATGTTGCTGGTGGCTTTTTGCAAAGCAATGAAACAAGTTGCACAGGAGCACTTCACGTGTTACTTTACTTCTAAGAAGAGAAAACTGTCCGTCCATTAAAGCAGAAACAACAAACTCCACTCGATAGATTCTCTTGGAGTGCTCCTTTCTTACCAGTAGCTCTAGGCGGCTAATGGCAAGAAAATAATTTGCAGCTGTGAAAATGCTGGATTCCAGCAAACACTTTGATAGCATGATAGCATTTTGATGGCATGTTACAGGAGAAGCTCAAGCGGACACTTCTTTTTTTCTTATCTGGAAAAGACATCAATGTGTGTGCATTAGTAGGAACAGACTGCAAGAAATACGTAAATCGCAGGACCTCGCGAAGGACTTGGGGGGAACGGCAAGTAAAGCGGAGAAGAAAATTTGCCGATCAAAAATTGTGAGCTCTATGCAGAAACATAACAAAACTGTGGAACCTAAAATGAAAACTAAGGCTCTATTCTTGGCCCGTTGTTCTTTAACGTGTATATGAAGTGATCATAACTGGTATTATTATCATTCAAAATATTTCGTCTTTTTTGATTGGCTCAAATCCCCCGGCTTATTCTTCACAACCATCTGGTGCTTACCATATTCGGAAGATGCAAGCAATATACGATTGACTCGATGGTATACCTAATACATCGATTGACACTCTCTGCGGAGGTCTACATAATTCTCATTATATGGCTGAGTCTGTTTTCGCCATGCGATTGGTCAATTTGCGGTCCGTAACTTTCTATACGGACCATTATTTCAAAGAAAATGCTCATTTCGGAGCTCTAAATCTCTTTACCTCGGAAAAAAGGTTTGAATAAAGTTATATTATAAGACGTCTGTCAACCTTGAAGACTTGGATGTTGACTTTGTCCTTCAACATTTTAAACTGTGTTTATTTGTGAACGAAGGCGATGAAGAAACTAACGTGTAGTCTTATCGAAGAGGATTCTAGTCAGTGTTTGAAAATTTTATCGTACTACACAGTGAAGAAGACGAAAATCGACTGGCGGAGATTCAAGATGTTTTGTCTAAGAGAAAATGAGTAACTCCTTTGACAAATATGATAAACATACCTGCGTCCAATCATTTTGACGAGCTTCTTTGCCATTTGTAGTGTTTTTTCAAAGACCAACGAAAGAAAGTCCAGTTTTCAAAAGACTCCAGCGTCACATTGGCAAGTGAATACTTACAGTGCTCTTAGTTTTGACCGAATAAACTGAGGACTGGGATGTTGACTTTGCCTTTCCAAATTTTAATCCAACTTTGTTTTTAATGAGAACGAAGCTGATGTAAAAACTGAATCTTAACCTCACAGGAGAAGAGAATTCTAGTCAGTGTTTAAATTTTACCGTAGATCACAGACAAGAATGAACTGGCAGAAATTCGAGAGGTTTCTCCAGAAGAAATTAACGTGCGAATGCTTCGACAATGACAAAAAACTTACCTTGAAAAGCTTCTTTGCAGTGTTTTTTTTACAAGGACCAACGGAGGAAAGATGGAAACGACTTCGAGACAGACACAGTGTCCGGTTTCCAAAATACTCCAGCGTTACATTAAGAGCTAAAACTTACAGTGCTCTTAGTTTCGACGTTTTCAACATGGCCAATATTTGTTTTAACTTTCTCGGAAACCCTTTGTTATATGTTATTGTTTTCGTGAGCCAATAAAAACTTTTTGTTGACACCTGTCAAGTGACTGTCAAATCACGCACCCTGCACCTTATTTC